CCTTAGGTGTACGTGGCTGGCGCCTTAGCCGGCTGAGCTATAGGCGCCGAGCCATACTTCATATTCTTATCCACAAATAAGTCCTTATATAATGTAGAACCGATTTCTTTTAGACAGTTTTTGAAGATGTTGGCTGCAGCATGTCCTTTCACTAAAATGGTATCAATCAGTTCTCTTGCTTGTAAAGGTATTTGTGTTTTTTGTTTAATAATATCATGTTCCTGTTTATTAATTACATTGACCTTTAAAAGATTATCCAGGATAGGAAGCACACACGTCAACCGCCGAAAGAGAGCTATTCTATTCTTCCTAATTAGTGACAAGTCATCTCCCACGCTAATCGACATGCTCCTTGAGAATAATCACAATGATTAGTAGAATATTTAGCACTGGTGTTCATGCTCAATAAATACCTGATGCCATTTCTTCAGCTTGCCTTTCCTTTTCCTCTTCTCTTTTTTCATCTGCAGAATTAAGAAGAGCTGATACAATATCATTGACTATTTTGTACTTCTCTCCAGTAGTTAGGATTTTGCTCTGAACTGTCTGTCTTACCAGCTTCTACTAAAGCCCATTTCCAAGGCAGATTTCACCACAGGTGTATTCACCATGACTGCATCTTCTGAAGCACTTTCTCCAGATCCAAAATGAACAATTGGTGGATCAGCATTTTCATCTCCAGGAGTATCTGAAGTTGACAATAGCTGTTCAAGAAGATGAGGATATCGACCTTGAATCTCATCAACAAACCCTTGCCCTTTCATGCGTATCAAGAACTCACACCTTGGAAACCACTTGGCATGTTCTACCCATGGATCATCTCCAAATTCCCAATACCTCAAGCCACCATCACGACAAAACCATTTGACATCATCATTGCGACCCACATAATAAAAACCAGCACTTACGAGCTTCTCAGGCCAAACTGGAACACTAAATGGCCAATACATAAATGTTCTTATTCGAGCTGCATATGTCTGCGTGCTCATATTTGAAGTGCTAAACCTCAGAGTTTCTAGAGAATTTTCCAAAAATGGACAGTTGGGAAAATGTCTCCGGTGCTCTAACATAACATCATCCTTTGGTTCCCAGTTACTTAGCTTCCCACCACAAGCAAAGCAGGCTACCCTATCTCTGGGTCCTATATAATAAAAACCAGCTCTTGCCAATTCTGATGGTGACAGAAAGGTTAAGGGCCACAAATGGTAAGTAAGAAATCTGGCTTCTTCAGTACTCATTGCATAACTGTAGGGGTTAGTCCTCAATGCAGAGAAGTCTTTGACTGCTCTAGAATTGAGAGGGTTTGGTGAAAGGTTGGAATAAGAACCACTGAATGAGCCACCATGTTCCAAAGTGGGAGATAAAGAATGTGCAAAACTGCTTCTCACTGGAGAAATATTCTTAGAGGTGGATCCCAGACTAGCTGAAACCAGATTCTGAATAAAGCTACAGCTAGCATACAGCTGTTTATGCTTTTTAATAGGATTGTCTCCTTGTTTCCAGTTATCCAGCATCAGGCTGTAACAGAGGCATTTGACCTTGTCATTCACACCCTTGTAATAAAAACCAGCATGAGCAAGGCTCCTTTCTGAGACAGGAACACCAGCGGGGAAAGCTGAATATGTAAACATTCTGTACAGTTCACAGGAAAGGTCACAGTTCATCTTTTGTTTGTTGTCATTTGTCCAATTTGACAAGATCGGGCTATCTTCCATTATACTCATTAATTTCTTGAGGTAAGGGACTTAGGACAAGTCTTTGGGAGATAGTTTTGTGCATGAGTAGGTGACAGTACTTCTTGATGGCTAAAAAACCTTCCCATGAAATTTGTCTCTTCACACTAAATTATATTTTTACCACAAAAAGGGAATTAAGTGATACAATCTTACTTATACAGAATTTATTACACCTTCACTGAATTTCCATCTGCATTTACACTCAGGTAGAATGAAAAGCTCTCCTCAATTATCAAGATACTACTTAGACCTCCTCAGGATTATAATAGACTTAGGTAATTCAAGTGCTGTTTGCTCATAATTTGGCATAATATTAACCTAAAGGCCTAAATATGTTGATGCCCTTCTGAAACACCTTGATTTTTCTTTTTTTTTTTTTTTTGAGACAGGACCCTCAAGCTGTCCCCCTAGGTAGAGTGCCGTGGCATCTCAGCTCACAGCAACCTCCAATTCCTGGGCTCAAGTGAGTCTCCTGCCTCCGCCTCCCAAGTAGCTGGGACCACAGATGCCAGCCACAACGCCCGGCTATTTTTTGGTTGCAGCTGACATTGTTGTTTGGCGGCCCCGGGCTGGATTCGAACCCGCCACCTTGGGTGTACATGGCTGGCGCCTTAGCCACTTGAGCCACAGGCGCCGAGCCAACACCTTGATTTTTCAAGATCTATATTCTCAAATTCTAAACAACTATAGAATACCTAAATTATGCCTCTAGTTTACAAGATATGAAGCCTTGATATCAGGCCAATTACTGATTATGCCACAAGAGTAAAAAATTACCTGCAGACTTCTTTCCCTACAAACACTTTAATACAACATCTCCCCGCATATGGTAATACTATCTAAAAGCTAATTTCACAGAGCTTATCATCATAGTATTTAGTTAAGAGGCTAGATTAGCTTCTGTTAACTTCCGAGGAAGGTAACAGCCACCTTTGTTGAACCTGTGCCTGTTATGGTGTGCACGATGTCAAATGAATTTTGCTTGAAGTTTACAAATTGTAGACTCTTTCATCTTTGTTAAATATCTATATTTGTTTCCATTTCCTGTAGCAACATTATTTAGTCTCCCTCACTTTGAATACCACTTTTTATACTTGAGCAACTGAAGGCATTTTCTCCATCAACTTGTTGACCATAAGATTTCCACAGCACATACTTTGTATGCTGCATTTAAAAATTAAATAATCTGTTCTTCATTTACGAACCATTCACTTTTAATATCAGTCATGCTGTAATTAAAGATGAGTTTTATCAAAAGATACAGACTGTCCTTTCTAGTGTTACTAAAAATGCCTAACAAAATCTTGTACTACCAACAGAATTTGATGCTTAGCATAATAACCCAGTAATTAACTCTCCTAGCCCTCTTTCTGAAAACTCTTCAATATTTTAAAGATACAATTCATTCACAAAATTACACTCCACGGAATTCAAACTATATCCCTTTATAAAGTTGCAGTGTCTCCATAATGGGATTTATTACAGCAATGGGGACAAAATAGGAAGGACAAAGACTCTTCAGGGCTGTAAACCGCAGCATCGGTGCACCCAGTGCCGAAGCTGCACGGCTGCCTGGAAATCGCCTCAAAACTGGGGACTCGCCAGGGGCAGGAGAGGCATCGGGCGCGGCCATCCCAGTTCTGGCGTTCTGAAGCCCCCAAGCCGAGACTTGAGCATTTTAATTTGATCTGTGCGCCCTTCTGTTCTGGGACCTCTGGGGTAACTTGCCTAGTAGTACATTGGCCACTATCATTTTATCAACAGAACTTCTCACATTAACAGGCCCTTATAGGATGAGATGAAAAGGGATCATAATTTATATTTTGGAGATGTTACCTAAAGAAATAAAGGCAATACTATGAAATAATTGGTTAAAATACTGTGAGCCCAGTACTGATCTGGGTGGTTTGAGGGCCAGTCAACAGTCCCAGGGCTGATCTTAGGGATCCCAGGGTAGTCTTGAAAGCCCTAGGTAATAAGTAAAGGGTCATAATTTTATGCTAGAAATATTAGCTACAGTAATAAGAAAAATAACTGGCATAAACAATATCGGGTGGGAGTAGGGCTGGCCTCAGGGCACAATGGAGCTGATTTGGGGGAGGTGTCACCTCTCGTGGTGGGGCCTCTCCCCTAAGTGTATACAAATAATAAGAACATGAAATACAGAGGTGATATTCATTGACCACTATGTCCAGAGTGTATGCTATTCCCATCCTGTACACCCGTGGTCACTGTGTGGTTCCCAGGGTAGCTCGCCCTTGTGCAAAAACCCTTATGACCACCTTCTGCCTCTTCCATTCAACTCCTGATTGCCACCACCATGAGGTTGTACATTGCTGAGACCTGGAGACACTCTACCTCCTGATATCACAGAACCCCATGACTCACCCTAAATAGTACCCCCCATTCCAGCACAATCTGCCCACCTTGACTGCACAGAACTCTTCCTGTTCACTCACTAATGCCTTACCATGCCTTGGCCACCCACTGGCCTGCAATGCTATTCACTCGGCCACATTCACCATCATCACTCGTATTTGCATCATATTACTCCCAATATATTCCATTCTGCCTACTCACTCACTCCTACTCTGTATTGCTCTCCCCAATACTACTCAGGTTTACTTACACTTGACTGTTTCTTTTCTAGTTAACTTCAGTCAGCCCCACATTTCCTCTCCCTGAAAAGCCTCTAAATGTGACATTCTGACTTACATAGTTCATTTAAAAAGTGATCCTATTTTCTTATAGGCCAATTTAGGGTAGGGGGAAAGGCAGCCTGGAAGGGCACAGACAAGGTCTCGGGTCTAATTCACCCACTTATTTTGATAACCCAAACACTGACTATCCCCAGGTTTTATATAGCTTGGGTTGTCTAGTTCTACTACAGAGATGGCCCTACTGAAAAAACACAGAAGCGTGAGGGCCACAATTACAGTAATAAACAAAAAGAACCTCTCATTCTGGATCAAATGTCCTGTCATGTGGTCTTTGGCTATGTCCATTGAACCATCACTTTCAATCTGTCACTAACCCAGGAAAATCTGTGTCACCAGCAGTGATATGACCTTGGGAGTGATTGATTCATCCTGCATATTCATATTTTATACCTCTTGTAAAAAATGTGTCTATAGACAAAAGTATAATAACTAGGATCTATACAGAACTTCAATTAATCCACAAGAAAAAAAACCAACAATCCCATACATCAATGGGGAAGAGAGATGAACAGAACTTTCTCTAAAGAAGATAGACGAATGTCTGTCAAATACATGAAAAAATGGTCATCATCCCTAATTATTAGAGAAATGCAAATTAAAACCACCCTGAGATATCATCTAATCCCTGCGAGAATGGCCTATATCACAAAATCTCAAAACTGCAGATGCTGGTGTGGATGTGGAGAGAAAGGAACACTTTTACACTGCTAGTAGGACTGCAAACTAATACAACCTTTTTGGAAGGAAGTATGGAGAAACCTCCAAGAACTCAACCTAGACCTCCCATTTGATCCTGCAATCCCATTACTGGGCATCTATCCAGAAGGAAAAAAAAACCCTTTTATTATAAAGATACTTGTACTAGGCTGTTTATTGCAGCCCAATTTACAATCGCTAAAATGTGGAAACAGCCTAAATGTCCTTCAACCCAGGAATGGATTGGCAAGCTGTGGTAGATGTATACCATGGAATATTATTCAGCTATTAAAAAAATTGGAGATTTTGCAGCATTTGTACTAACCTGGATGGAGGTGGAACACATTATCCTTAGTGAAGCATCACAGGAATGGAGAAGTATGAATCCTATATATTCAACTTTGATATGAGGACAATTAATGACATGGTGGGGTATGGGGGAAGGGGTGAACAGACACAGGAGGAGGAGAGGAGGGTGAGGGTAAGGACAAGGAAAAAAAAAAGAAAGAAAATAGTGACTAATTTTCACATAAATTGGATTTGATTTTTACTAAAGTACATTACTTAAACATTAATTTTTACTTCAACTTGTTAATATGTTGTTTAGGATACAGGATACTGCATCCTCATTTAAAAGTGAATTATGTTTGTAATTTCTCCTTTATAATAATATATTTTTTCCAATTTTAGTATCAGGTGTATCCAGATTAAACAGAATGATTTTGAAGTATTTCTTCTTTTTCTATTGTCTATAAGATTTGGCACAATCTGTTTTTTGAAATTATGTTTTATTTTTATAAATATTAGTTGTCTATTTTTTGAGACGTTGGGAAAAAAATAAGTTAATTGATGATTCTATACTGAACCTCAGAGTCAAAGCATTCTATAATAGTCATACTCTTGATAATGTGGATATTACTTTTTTGCATTACTATTATTATTACTGCTTAATACTTCATTGCTGCAATCATCTGATTTCTTTTCTGAATGTATTTATCTTCATTCATTCTTTATGAGGTTTTTGTTTCTAGTTTCTATCTTAAACATTGTTATTGTTGTCAAATTTTAAGCCTTTTTAATTCTGTGAAAGCAAAAAGTGGAAACCTAATAATCACATGTATATGTAAAAATAAAATAATAATTTAAAAGAATGAAATAATTTAAATCATTTTGTTAAAATATAGGAAGACATTGGTAGGCTTTATAACAAGATCTTTTCATGGATGTCACCATACATACTGAGTAAGAAATGTGTTTCAGTCTCAACTATTTTAGGCTTACCTAATGCAGTCCCAGCCGACCTGGAAATCACCTTATTTGGCACCCTCAATAAAATATAATGCCTAAATAACTTTGAAATTTATGGAATATCTGTTGTTCTCTATTCCTGGTTATTTAACTTATTCATTCAAAAAATTAAAACTCCAGATTAAGCATATCTATATCTTCATAATGCTATAAAGTCCTATATCCAGATTTTAATTTTATTCTTTATTATAACAATGGGATAATTTATGCTTTTAAAATGTTTTATTTTTTTTGAAAAGGCAGTACAACCACATAGTACAATTTTCAAAAGCTATGAAAGGATACACAGTTATCTCCCTCCCAATTCCATCCCCCCCTCACTGCCCCTTCCCTGAGGTAATCAGGGTTACCAGTTCCTATGTCTCTTTCCAGAGATAATTTATACATATACAATCATGTATTTACCATTTTTTCCCTTTTTATGTACAAACAGTAGCATATCATACTGACTATGCTGCACCTTGCTTTTCTTACCTAATAACATAACTTGGAGATTATCCAACATCGCTACATAAATGGTATCCAAGTTCTCTTTATTTATTTAGTCTACCTCTACCTAGGCATATGCTATGTGAATATACCACAATTTTGGTAACTAAAACCCTGGTGGTGTCATTTATACAGCCTGCAATCTTTTGTTTTCACAAATAGTCCATCAATGAATACCTCTATATGTTCATTTTGTACACATGTGAGTATATACATTCCTAGGAGTGGAACTGCTGGCTCAAAAACCATGTGCATTTGTGGTTTTGAGTCATTCCTCTTTGAATGAGAAGAGTTTTTTCCTGGACTTTCTATTCATTGGAGGTTCATGTGGGGGAAGAAACCAAGGCCACATTATAGTGAGATCAATTTTTCTAACAGCTGGTATTTTTTTCCCCATGTTTGTTACTTCTTTCAGACTTTACTCTTCCTGAGTCCATAAATAGAGGCATATATAGGGCTCTTCACAAAGAAAAGTTCCTTCTCTTCCCCTAAAACCCACTCTCAAGTGTGCTCCCATCAGTACAGAAAATACTTTACAAATATGGCTTGTCTGAGTGATTCCTTGTTGAGGTCCCTGCATGTTTCTTCTCGAACCACAGTGGTCTAAGAAACCTCCTACCTTCCTATGCACTCTGTTACCATTGTTTTATTTATGATTCTGCACCTTGGGGTATATCCTGAACCTCAGCTAAGAGTCCTTACCAGTGCTGTCTCACATCTGCGGCCTTGAGCACTCTCGCTCTCTGAAATCTCCTGCATCAGTGGTTCATTTCCTATGCCAGCCCTCCTGTGAGGGTTTCAGCTGTCTCCTAATATTGTCAGATACAGAGATTAAAATTCTACTTCTTTTTCTCCTATAGCTTTGGGTAGAGACTGAGATGAAAAGAAGAAAGGTCAACTTTACTTTACTCCCTATATTTAAACCAGAAGTCAGAACATATTTTTAAAATGTTAATTAAACTGATACAACTTTCCTGCAGGGTAATAACTGACACTGCTGATTTGCTCTCTAATGTGCAATGAGCTTTGACTTCCGGGTGTGGCCTCTCCCATAGGCTTTCTTTCCTGTATGGGTTCTCTGATGTACAATAAGGTTTGATTTTTGGGTAAAGGCTTTCCCACATTCTGCACATTTATACGGTTTCTCTCCAGTGTGAGTTCTCTGATGTACAGTGAATGTAGATTTTTCTCTGAAGGCTTTGCCACACTCGCTGCAAGCATAAGGTTTCTCTCCTGTGTGTGTTCTCTGATGTATTATGAGCTGTGACTTCTGGCTAAAAGCTTTCCAACACACAGGACACTCATAGGGTTTCTCTCCTGTATGTATTCTCTGATGTATAATAAGCTTTGACTTTTCTCTGAAGGCTTTGCCACATTCGTTACATTTATAGGGTTTTTCTTCTGTATGAGTTCTTTGATGTATAATAAGATATGATTTCTGGGAAAATGCTTTTTCACATTCGTTGCACTCATAGGGTTTTTCTCCTGTATGACCTCTTTGATGTAGCATGAGATAGGATTTTTGAGAAAAGGCTTTCTCACATTCATTGCATTCAAAGGGTTTCTCTCCTGAATGAGTTCTCTGATGTACACCCAGGTTTGACTTTTGGGTGAAGGTTTTTCCACACACATCACATTCATATGGTTTCTCTCCTGTATGAGTTCTTTGATGCACAATAAGGGTTGACTTCTCATTGAAAGATTTCCCACATTCGGTACATTTATGTGGTTTCTCGCCCGTATGAGTTCTTTGATGTATAATGAGAGTTGACTTATCACTGAAAGTTTTCTTACACTCATTACATTCATGGGGTTTCTTTCCTGTATGGGTACTATGATGTATAATTAGATCAAGCTTCTGTATGAAAGATTCCCCACATTTAGTACATTCATAGGTTTTCTCTCCTGTGTGGGTTTTCTGATGGACAATGAGGTTTGATTTCTGAGTGAAGGCTTTTCCACATTCATTACATTCATAAGGTTTCTCTCCTGTGTGAGTCCTATAATGTATGATGACAGTTGACTTTTCTCTGAAGGCTTTTCCACATTCAGGACACTCAAAGGGTCTCTCTCCTGTATGAGTTCTCAAGTGTATAATGAGCTGAGATTTTTGGCTAAAGGCTTTTCCACATTCAGTACATCCAAAGGGTTTCTCTCCCGTATGAGTTCTCCAATGTACAATGAGGTGCGACTTCTTGCTGAAGGTTTTCCTACATGCAGTACATTCAAAGGGTTTCTCTCCATTTTTAATTCTCTGATGTAAGCTAAGGCCTTTCTTACGCCTGAGGGATTTCCCACATTCTTTATACACATAGGGTTTAACTCCAGGATTTGTTTTCTCATACTCAGTATGGAAAAATAATTTCACACATCCACTATCATATTTCTTTTCCACAGAACTTCTACTAAATAAGTCTAAATTATCTACAATATTACTTCCAAGTGATTCATATTTATGGGGTCTTTGTATTGAAGCAGCAAGGTTTGTACTCATATGAAGTGTGTTTCCAAATTCATTACAGTCATGTCCACTCTTGGTGATAATTGTTTTTTTGTCAGGAAATCCAACTTGCATGAACAGACATTTGTGTTGGTCATCCTGATGATGCCTCTCAATCTGTTCATCAACTTGGCAGACTCCTAGAAAGAAGTACAATAAACCATCTTTATACTTTGACACCATGGAATGGACCTTCTATAGAAATGTCCTGCCATATGAAAGCTGATACTGTCATCTCATTTAATGATCCTGGAGAAAGAATCTTTTACAAAATTCCTGCTGATCTTTTTTGTTTGTTTGTTTGTTTGCAGTTTTTGGCCAGGGCCAGGCCTGAACCCACCACCTCCAGCATATGGGGCTGGCGCCCTATTCCTTTGAGCCACAGGCACTGCCCCCTGCTGATCTTTTTGATACCAAGAACAATCTTACCTCAACACTCAATCTTTCTTACCACTACTTTTACATCATTTCTGACTTCCATCAACTCTGAGGATGTTAGTGCCCTTAATCTTTAGTTAGTATATGAACTCTTTAACTGTACCTGACTTATACTATTTCCAACTAGGTAGAAATCCACATTTAATTCCTGGAGCCAAGTCTTATAGTAACACTGAATACACATTCTCAGTGACTGAGAGAAAAAACATGATTATCTCAATTCATTCCATCACTACCTACATGCAACAGTCTCAGAAGAATACTAAGAATACTACTATCAAACATGAGATTAATAATTTAAAAACCTTTAAGTCCAGAATTTGATTCGGAAATACCAATCTGAAGACATGAGGTACTTTCTCACTAAAAAATATATACCTAGTCCCTCCTCCTATCAATGAAAATCCCTAAAAACTATTCCCTAACATCTGAATTATGAGCTTAAAAGACTATTTTCCACTAAAAAGAACCAAGGCTTCTGGGAGAAATGGCAATTCCAAGTCAGAGACAGGAAATATACAAACTAGAGCCTAGAACATGAGCCTAGAACATGTTGTAACACCAGAAAGCAAGGAAGCTACCAAAGTCTCAGGAGCCAAACTGAAGGAGTTTCCACTGGCCATAGATAAGAAAATTTGATTTATAAGAAGTATAATAAGGCAATGGGTTAAAACATAAAAAAAAAAGTTTAAATCCATAAGAGTGATACACAAGAAAAGATATAACTTATTGGTCACCTTTGGATGATGCTACAAAGCCAACTTACTATTTTGAAAAATGGTAATTAAAAGAAAAAAACAATCACTTTGCCTGTCTTTTCTGTAAAATATGTAACTCATGGTAAATAAAAAGAAGCAATTTCTCTCTGTAGAATTATACCAGCTAATCAACAATGAAGAAATAATAGAATATCACTATTTTTAATTAATAGATCTAAGCAGTAATCTTCAATGACTAGTAACAGAACAAAGAGTGACCACTATGTATTATGAACCTCCTGGGGGAAGTAGCTAGCAAGTAATCTTGCTAAAAGTAAAACTAAAAATCTGACTCTTATCCAGGTTCTAGATCTATCAATTTACAAGAAATACAGAGGACAGAGGACTATATTGAATACCACCATGAGACATTTAACAGGAAAATCTAGAATGTGGAAATCTAAAGGCCAAATGACCCAATTACTTAAAAAATAAATATTAGAGGGAAAAAGGTAGATGGAGGGGGAATCATCTGTAAATTATAAGAGACAAGACTCTGAGTAGATATAAGCATACCTAGCACCTAGATCCTGATCTCTAAATATCATACTTACTAATAGGAATCAGTGGAGAAGCTGCTAATTCCAGGTCTAAAATGGAGAATGTACAAGGTGAGCCTGGAACATATGTTTCTGCTAGAAAGTGAGGAAGTCTCAAAGAATAATAGGGACATGTCAAAAGGACAAAGGAGCCAGACTGAAGGGACTCATACTAACTAAACTGAGGATAATTTGAATATGAAAATGAATGACAATGGATGATAACACCGAGAAAATTAAAATTGGCCATCTTATTAATAACTGATTCAGGCAATAATTATTACTGAATGTGAAAACCACTGGGCAAAAGTTTTTGAGAAACAGGACATTCACACAGTTTGACAGTTCTTCAAAATGTTAAACATACAATTATCATACAGTACAACAATTCTGATCCTATGGATCTACCCAAAAGGAATGAAAACATACTCATATATTACTACAAAAACTTGTACATGAAATAGCAGCATTTTTCATGATAGCCCAAAAAAGTGGAAACAAAAAGGTATCCATCAATGGATGAATGGAGAAACAAAATGTGGTCTATCTATACAATGGGATATTATTCCTCCATAAAAAGAATGAAGAACTGATGTGTGCTACAGTGTGGATGAATGCTGAAAACCTGCCAAGTAAAAGAAACCAGATATAGCCACATTTTATATGATTCCATTTATATGAAATGTCCAGAATAAGCAAAATCATAGAGATAGAAAGTAGATTAGTGGTTGCCAAGGAATGGGGGGAGAGGGAATGGACAGTGACCGTTAAGGAATGAGTAAGGGCTTCTTACGGTGTGATGAAAGCGTTCTAAAATTAGATAGTGGTAATGGTTAGATGACTCTGTAAATACACTAAAACCCATTAAATTGTAGACTTTTAAAGAGTAAATTTGTGGGCAGTGCCTGTGGCTCAAAGGAGTAGGGTGTCGGCCCCATATACTGGAGGTGGCAGGTTCAAACCCAGCACCAGCCAAAAACTGCA